AAAACTAGCTTAAGAAGACCCAAGTAAAGAGATAATATAAATTTTTAAAGTGTTATAGAAAAAACTAAAACTAAAGATAGATACTTGAACTAGAAATAAGAGTACAAAAGATTTTCAAGAGTAAAGTACAAAGTATTCTCAAGAGGAGAAGAATACAATATATCCTTATAAAGGAAATCAACTAAGGCTGCTAGAGCACAAACTAAAAAAAAAGAATATACTGCAAAAATATATACCAAAGTTGAGGTGACTATAAACTGAAGATTTAGAAACTCAATCTTTTAAACTATTAGATTAGAATACTTTAAAAGCTGGAGATAGGAGTCTATAAATTAGGAAAAGTAAAGTATATAAGTACTGAGATTTTAAATAAACTCTACAAGAGCATAGCAGCTAAATGAGTTTTAAAACCTAACTGCAAGTAGAAGCCTTAGCAACTGTGATACTAGGTTAGCCAGAATGGGATATAGAGGACTCTAGTGGGTTTACCTCAAGGATAGACTAACCTAGAGTTAGTAAGTTCTAGGGTACAAACAAAATTTAGGCAACTGAGTTAAAAGATCCTACTTGATAGAATTAGGTTATAATCAGAGAGTTTAAATAGATAATTCTCTAGTTGGGTTACAGATATAGCAGCTAGTGTAAAATCTAGGGCAGACTATTTAAATAGGCAATCAAAGGTTGTACATGTAGCTAGTTATACTCTCATTTGTAAAAACCAAAGAGCTTAAATAGAAAATTTTTTAGTTAGATTGCAAATATGGTATCTAGTATAGAACCCAGGTAGACTACTTAAAATAGATAACCAAAAGTTGTATATATGGCTAGTTATACCTTCATTGTAATTAAAACTTAACTTCTAATAAAAAGTTATAGCTAAAGAGATCATTTTTAATACTGAAAAAAAAAAATAAACAAATAAATAAATTAATTTGAATATTCTAGTATAAATTAATTTATTTTATACTTATTACAATATAAGTTAACTAAATATAGTATTAGACAAATGATAAAATACTGTATTTATTAATATATAGTGTATTACTTTGAAATAAATCTTGATTAATTAAGAAATTTTCTTATTATTAACTTTTATTTGTTTTAAATTAACACTTACATAATAATTTCTTTATATATATAGATATTGTTTATTAAAAATTGATTATATTAATCTTGATAATTTCAAATTATACAAATTTATTGTACATTAATGAGCTTTCTTAAATTTTAGCATTGTTTAAATAATAGGTTATTTGTATAGTTACTTTTTATATTTCGGATTAAATCGAAATTATTCAAAATTTATTGAATTATTTGAAATAACTTTTGAAACTTTAAATCATAAGATAGTATTTTAATAAATAAAAAACAAAAACATCAATAAACCTAATTTAATAAAATTAAATAAAGATAAAAAATTTGAAATAATACAAAATAAACTGAAATTTTAATAATATAATAAATCAAAATTAATTGATTTTTAACTAATTCAAAATTATTTAAATTGGTTTGAATTAAATATTATTAACTTTTCACTCACATGTTATATAGGCACGGAACGCGGAAAGCAATTTCATAATTTCATTAATTATAACATATCACATGAACAGAAGCCCAAACTGAAGAATCAGTTTCGGTCAAATATTAAAGGTACACACTTTATCATTATATATATTTCGTAATCAAGCTGGAAATTTTAGAAAAGCTAAGGAATGTTAGTCTATCTCCCTTAAAAAATGCGATAATTTCCTTGGGACTGAACAAATTTAGGGCCTTAATGCAAAATTCTAGATAATTCAACTCTGTAATGTTTTATCATTTACTCTAACAAGCAATACGTATTAGTAATTCAACCGAAACTTGGAACCCGGTTTAAAATCGTACTTCCTGGAATAGTCCAAACATGTTTGGGCTGTCCCGAATTTCGACGGAAACTATATCAATACGATATAACAATCTTGTTAATTATAACTTATAACAGGGACGTGAATAGACAATAGAGAAGTCAATAGACACAATAGACAGTGTAATGGTCTAATGGTGTTCAATCAAGTCATTAGATAATAGACAGATACATAATTTAAAGCAATCTGGTTGATTAATTTTAAATATCATAATCTAGCTAATAGAGTAGATTAAATAGACATTAGAACAATAGACGCAAATGGACCATTAGACAAAAATATTTTTGATTAGACTAAGTCTATTTACATCCCTGCTTATAACTTCGTAGTGATTCATGTACACAGGAAAAATTATAAACAATGAAGTTGATCATAGACACGAATTCTGAATATCAAGTAATTATCACAAGATACATAAGCACAAATTTTCTACAAACTAATGTTAAAAGAGAGAAAACGTAAATACTCTTGGTTACCTCATCGTATAAATAATTCTTTAAAAATGGGATAGCGTAAGCGAGACTATGTAAGAATGTTCTCTTTAAAACAATGAAGAATTCCACACCAGAATTAATACCAAAGAACTAGGACTACAATTTAAGCCTCTTTTCAGCATTATCACCACCATAATCTCCCTCATCTAAATCAAAATCCAATTCCTCTTCTTCATCCTCTACTCTAGTTATTCTAGCTCTCTTCCTCGTATGTGCATCATTTGCACACTTTTTTTCAACCTTGAACACCTCAAAGTCTGTGAGGGAAAATACTTTATCGTCAAAAATAGGTTTATCATACGCCTTAGGGGTACAGGTACCACTAAACCATCGTAAATCTAAACTAAATCCTGGATTCTTTTGTGAATTCCAGATTGCGAATTTGGCTAGCTTTACTCTCGCCACTATATCATGGTTATCCTTTTTTGATTTAGGTGAATCAATAGCATTATTAGTCTCATTATCATTACTACTATTTCCTGTTTCCATTTTATGATAATTATTATCAACATCTTTCTCGTCATGATCATTTTCCATAGAAAAAATAAAACTAAACATTCGTTCACCCCACGCATTTTCATTCAACCAGTCTTCAGGATTATATCCACCAAGAACTCGTGTAGACTCGGCAATTTTAATGATGATAACTGTAGCCCCTTGATTTCCACATCGTTCATGGAATTTCTTCACGTTTGCTACGCCATCTCTACTTCCCCTATATAATAACCTGAAATCGTAAGGTATTTCTGCTGGTGTATATGTATAAGCTGGTTGTTTTTTGTCGATCCATGATGCTATTTTGGAGAACCCTTTTTCTCCAATAATTATCGAGTTGATAGAACTCAACGAAGTATTAACTCCAACTGAATTAGCTTGATTAGCATATAAATTATTTGCGACTTGGTTATTAACGTGGTTTTTATTCTCATTACTCGAATCTCCTATAATACGAGGTGGAAGTTGTTGAAACTTTGTTGGTGGAATCTTTGCAAAGAAAAAGTCCTTAATTTCCTCTCTCAATTCCTTTCCCAAAATTTTTTTAAACGGTCGGATTTTAGTTCTATGATCTAACCCTGAAATGTTAAAAAATCTAATATGCGGTAATAAATTTTTTACTACTTTTCTTAGTTTAATAAAATCTTTATTCGTCCATTCCTTTGCATCTTCACTCAGAGATGGCAATTTTCCGATTCCCCACCGAATAACGGCTTCCCAAATTACTATTTCGTCAATTTGAAGGTCGCTACGTTCAATTATGTTAATTAAGAATTGTTCTTCTAGATTGAGGAATTCTGATGAACTAAATATTTGTGTTGATTGCGTGTTGAAAATATTTTGACAAAATTTGGATAGGCGGGAGTACGATGGATGAGTAAATGTGAGGTATAGAAGCTTAAGTAAATTAGCATGAATCCATTCGGCATCATTAGTAAGAAGGTGGGTCTGAAGATGATCGATTAGTTCAGTGAGTTTTAGATCGGATGATGCGATTAATATTTCAAAATATATAGATCTCAGTGATGTGTAGTTCAAATTAATTGTTCCGCTATATATATAACTAGATTTAAACAGTTTAGTTCATATAAATTTTATTAATTATTTCAAGCTTTTCATAAATACAACAGAATGATTAATGATTAAAAGAAAAAAAAAAAATACGAACTTTAAAATGTGTTCAAACACACGAGGAGAAATATCTGGTAAATTTAATGTAGATACCTGACCATCATTTGCTTTTAAAGCCGACCGAAAATATGATGATCTAGCTCGTAATATCAAAGAATGTGCTTTGAAGTTATTAGTATCAGGGTGTCGACCAACTTGAATTACTACATTAGAGTAATTTTGATCGTTGAATAAATTTTTTATATCTTTTAATAAAAAGTTTTCTAAATTTAATGTCATTTTTTTCTTTAACAAGACGAAGATTATTAATCATTTTATAGGTAAATTTAAACAGAATCATGAGGCTTGTTATTTTGATTTCTCCAATCAATATTGAACAACAAAAATAATCGAAGGGAACTCGGTTGTAAAAACTAGATATGTAGCCAAGCCTCAATAATAGCGCGTATTTTTAATTACGTTAAATTCCTTACCGTTACAAGGTCAGTTAAGGGATTTGCAAATTGTAGCACATATCAATATAAATAACGATAATTCTCGTTTATGAATAGAACTTTTAATATTTCACTCTTTGACGTTTACTTTTTTCACCCTTACGCTAACAACCTTTGATAGCGTATTGTAGCTATCTATGTAAGTAAATTTCGAAGTCTCGTTGTTTTTTTATGTTATACAATACTGAATCAGATCAAACTATGGATATGAATTAGATGAATTACAAATTATATGTAGTTGATATCAAAGTTATATTATTCATTCCTTAATTTAATTTAATATTTGTATAGCAGGTATATATCTAAATATATATATATATAGTTTTTGTATTCCATAACTTGTTTGCGTTAGTATTGATCGAGTGTATATAATTATAAATAAAAATAATATATAGGATCTCGTCTCGCTGTCTCACGTGACATGCAGATCCCGGTGAAAATAAAAAATTTAGGAACTTTGAGCGAAGATATCTTGACACCTACCTGCTTGAATCTGATAAATCTTTTCGATTTGAATTCTATGGATTCATAGAATTCAAATAAAAAAAAATTCATCGAATTTAGCCATGTGGCTGTCGAGATAACTTTGCTCAAAATTAGAGAAAAATCAAAACGCCTTAAATAGAAGCTGCGCCAAATTTCTCTCTAACTTCGAGCGAAGATATCTCGATAACAATCTGACCAAATTCGATAAAACTTTTTTTTATTTTAATCCTATGGATCCATAGAATTCAAATAAAAAAATTTTCATCGAATTTAGTCAAGTGGCTATCAAGGTATCTTCGTTCAAAATTAGAGAAAAATAAAACGCCTATCAAATAGAAATTTTCTCTAACTTTGAGCGAAGATATCTCGATAACAGTCTGTCCAAATTTGATAAAACTTTTTTTATTTCAATTCTATGTATTCATAAAATTTAAATAAAAAAAATTCATTGCATTTAGTCAAGTGGGTGCCGCTCAAAATTAGAAAAAAAATTTAGCGTAGATACACATCTTGAGATTTTATTTGAGCGAAGATATCTCGACAACTACTTGATTAAATGCAATGAAAATTTTTTTATTTGAATTCTATGAATCAATAGAATTCAAATAAAAAAAGTTTATCGAATTTTGTTAGATAGTTATCGAGATATCTTCGCTCGAAGTTAGAAAGAAAATTTAGCATAGCTTCTATTTTGATAGACGTTTTGATTTTCTCTAAGATATCTTGATAAC